CACTGAGATTGAGTGCTCGGTTTTATGCGAGTGAGGTAAGTAAATTATGGTAAAGCCCTTTGATTTTAAAGCATGTTTTAAACTGTTTTTGAGATGGTGGCAAGCTTTAAATTGTTTTTATCAGCATCTGAGTGTGATTAACTAAAATGCAAATTGTGATGGCTTTTATGAGAATTTCATTGTTTTTCTGGAATTGAGCATGATTGGAATGAAAATGGGAATTTCATTGTTTTCTGGAATTGAGCATGATTGGAATGAAATTGTTTTCATTGCATTGAGTAGAGCATGCCGATTGGAATTGACTGAACTGTTTTGATGAACTGAAAGTTTACAAATACTGAGTTTTCTGTCAAATCCATGCTTACATGGAGATTTTTCGGTTGTTTCTGAAATTGGAGATTGATTGTGAATTTTGGGTTTTTCTGTAAATCCTGCATGGTTTTGTCTCGGATATAGTCATGATTACTGTGCCCGCTAGTGGGAGGTTTATAAACGCTAGCACATGTCGACATGTATTTCTGTAGAACCGGTTTCCAATGGGATAAAACATTGGCACTATTCCTGACGCCTGCCAGTGGGAGTGTGTTAAACACTGGCACTATTCCTGACGCCTGCCAGTGGGAGTGTGTTAAACACTGGCACTATTCCTGACGCCTGCCAGTGGGAGTTTGTTAAACACTGGCCATGACTTATAGATGAGACTACTGAACTGAGTTTTATTCTTCATGAACGGTTTGTCATGAATGCTTTGCAATTGAACTGAATCTGATTTTGTCACTGAGCGTTTTGGTTATATTAAACTGTTTATCTGGCATGCTTAAAAGTTTTACCCAATGGCTATTCATATTTACTTACTGAGATATTTTATCTCCTAGTTTTCCTTGTCCACCATTTCAGGAAGCGATATCGAGGACGGGAAAAACCGAGGGGAGTGACGAGTTAGAAGGCTAGCCATTCAATTGGGGTATAAGTTTTAGATTTTATCATCCTTTTGTAAGGTTGATTTTATTCATGAGATTTTGTGATTTGGATAAGTTCCGAGCCTTGTGCATTTATGGGACCCGTCTCACGAGTGCACGGCGTCTATCGCGCCTCGGATTTGGGTTATGGGGCGTGACAATATTGTATCAAAAAGTGATATAAAAAGATTATTCTTAAATCATTTTTTTATTTTTAAAAAGTAACAATAATTTACAATTAGAATTTAAAAACAAATTGCCTTTTATGGGATGTGGTAATAGCCCGAGGATTTGGTAGCAAAGGATGTTTTTTTTCCTTTTTTCACCTACAATTAAAATGTTTTTGGATCAATTTTTATACACTTTAAAATTAATTATTTTTTGAGCAATTTTAAATGCACATCCTTTCATCAACTTAATACATTAAAAAAAAATATTTTTTTTAAATGGTAACCCTAAAACTTGAATTATAAACCACCTACAAAACGCCATTTGTTTAGTAGTGGATGAGAATAAATCAAATATTAAGGAAAAAGGAAATGTCAGGGGACAAGGCAGTGAGTAACCAAGATAAGTATTCGAAGGGATTTTCTAACAGGACTGCCATACGCGCAGCGAAATTTGTGTTGCGAATGCACCCAGTGGAATTGGAAGCCTCTTGATTTGCTACGGAAAAACTATTCACGGATAATTTTTTATATTATTTTTTAATATAATTTTATATATTATTTAAATTATTTAT